CTCTTTCAGTTTGGACAACGGAAGTTTCTTTCATTTTTATTTATTAATAACTACTTCATTTTATACAGCTGCACATTATATTCAAAACGTCTCGTGGTTTTACTTTCCAATATACCGTTTATCTTAGAACGTACAAATAAATACTACAAATGAGTAAACAGAAAAACAAATAGAAAGCTTCCAAATAAAATAGTAAGCATAGTTCAATGAAATTCAACCTAATGAAGTGAAATTTTTCTTGAACGTTAAGCTAGAGTTTTCTTATTTCGCAATTATTATTATCTTAAATTTATTAAACGTCCAAAATAATTTTAATGCTACGGTAGGTCTTTTTATAAAGCAATTAAAAGATCGTCGAAAAATAACTATGAAACAAATAGAAAACCAACTTAATACAAGCTGAAGCAGTATCCGAAAGAACAATTTCGCAAAATTCGAAAATGCGAAAAATTTTAATCGCGTTGTACAAATTTCTACTGCAAATATCTTAACACTGAATATTGAAACTACCAGACGGGTCAAAATGACCTATTTCTGATTTCTTCCTTTTGCAATTATTAAAAGATAACAGATATTTCTCTGAGAAATTACTAAAAAAATTGATTCAGCAGTACGCAAACTGAATTTTAAATCAATTTAAATAAAGTCTCAATAGATTAGAGTTTCTATAGAGAAATTTTAAAAAGTCAATTTAGTTGCTCGGTTGTTTTAGTGTTAAATACTACAATGATTATACGAAGAAATCGAAAAAATTCTATTGTTACAATTGTGATGAGATATTTTTATGAGATTATTTTCCCAGATAAACATGTAATTTCTCTTAGTTTCGCTTTAATTTTTCGTTAGAATATATTATAAGTGCATTTTGCCTGCATCTGACGACTATACACTTCATTACTTGATTTTATTGCTCGCACAATAAGAGATTTTTCAAATTATTATAGATTCAAATACAGGTGTTATCGACGTCAATATAAATGAATTAATATTACGGAATAATTGGTAGCGAAATGTAATTAGTCTAATTGCTCACTTTAAGCGAAACTGCTGAATTGTTCCGGAATAACACGAAACAATTCTGTAAGTGATTGAAACCTGATTGAAAAACTCGACGAATCTGTTTGGTCGACCCAATATCTCCTGTACCATCGCATTATGCTTACCCGGATAAGAATTCATCGAACCGCGGATGCACGACGCCCATTAACTTTGACGTTAGTAGGTTTAAAAGTGATATGAGCTGACTATACGTCTTCTTTTTTTTTCGTTCGTTCACTTTCTTATGCAGTTCCGGTTCTGGCGGCGCGAGTACGGCCGTTCGCGTGTGTACTCTCGTTCTCTCTCGCACATTCGCATATTTTCCTACGGACGTAAAATAGCACGTGGAGTTCCACGGGAACGCCATTGAATCCGTGACCCGTGAGAGATTCACGGGCAATAGTTGGTCGCGCGAATCTTCACTGCGCTTGATTTTATGCTGTACCTGCTCCCCTTTCACTGCCAACCGTCGTCTGTCGTTTCCAATCACTTCATTCAACGTAATTTTGCAAAATTTCTCAATGAAATAAATGAAAAGTTACCACTACTACTTATTCAGTTTTATTCGTTATATTGCGTTGACGCAAACGTTTTAACGTTTCTTTTATAAATATAAAAATAAGAATACTGAACTGTTCGCTGCCTAAGCTAAAACTAGCAAGGGAACCTTTTCCATTAACACACATCGATTTCGAGAAAATTGTTTTCTACGCCAGTTTCAGAGGTGTAAAAAATATACTTTCACACCTGAACTTTGAGCGGTGTCTTCACCCCTTCAAAGTGGACGTTGGCCAATAAAAAAAAATACGTGTTAAATATTTTCTTGAGAACTATGTTTCACATAAATTTCATCAAAATTGGTGTGTGCTGGTTGAAAAGGTTCCGTTGAAAGTAAAAACGAAGAAAGAAGTATCGTTTACACACGTTATAATAGTTTGAAGAAGGTATTATTTATTTTGACGAAAAATATGTTTTGTTAGTCACTTACAAAGAATGTCAAAATTTTTGCATCGACACAATATAATAAATAAAATGAATAAATACTAGCAATAACGTTTCGTTCACTTCTCTTTCGTGTTAGGACGAACTACCAGTTTACCATCTGTTTACATTTACGTTGCTTAACTTACTTATCTACAATCATGTGTACTTTTCTAATATTTTGTACTTTCCCTGATTCTATCCCTCCTCTTTGGCTTTCTTCTTTCCTTTGGTTTTGTTTTCCTTGCTCTCTTCGCTTTTTCAGTCTTTTCTTCTCTATTTTTTCAGTATTCCTATCCTTTGACCTTTTTTATTCAATATCATTCCTATGCTTTTCTCGCTTCTAGTTTCATATTCCATTAAGCCTTCAGCTCCCAAATAAAAACTTTGGAAAAATACACATATTTTCACAATATACCTTAACTGATCAGTTTCAACAAAAATAAATAAATTTATGAAAAATGCTATTCTGATTGTCAACAAGAATAGATGGCGATTACTATATCAATTTTATACTGGTGTTTACATTTTACTGGCATCCAAATATGAGGTTTCAACCAGACTACTGGGAACCAAAGCGTTAACTCATGTTCGGCATCTTTTTCCTTTTCTTCAGATATCTTGCATTTCTTTTTTCCTATTTCCTTGCAATATTCTCTTGTTTTCATCTCATTACCACACTTGTACCTTGCTAAGCACTAATATTTAATATTTCTTTGTATGCTACTGTCTGCAAGTACTGGACATTTGATCATTTTAGAAAGAAATGTAAATAGCGATATATGAAAGTACATATATCTATACGTGCAAGCAAAATAGGAAATCATCGTAAAAAGAAGTTTTATTTAGACAGTTAAAATTTTATTTGTATAACTGTTAAAGGAGTTGAAATTTTATTTCTATAACTGCTTTCTTTATTTTCTGTGTTATTTTAACATATATAATGTTATTTGCATGATCATATATTTAGAAAATAGATTATTCTAATGTTTACTTTTCAATTTAATATTTGTGTTAATTAAGGTCATAAAGTTATGTTTTCCCTGTAATTTGTAAAACTCCTAACCCAAAGTAATATATTTAATACTCGTAATAGTATCTCTAGATAAATTATAAGTTTACTGTATATGAAAATCTATTATTTTCAAATAAATACATTTGGCCCTCTCTTTCGAGCAGTCATATATTGTTTAGACATTGATTCAAAGAAATAGTATTTCTCCAAGTACAAGTATTGTATATATAACACTGTTACCAACAGCTTTTATTTTTGTGAGTGACAGTGACTCGAAAAATATATTAAATACAATTAAAGTACGCTAATTATAAACTGAAATTTAATAAACACATTGAAAATTAAGGAAGAGGTTCAACAGAAGATTACAAGAACTTGAGGACGAACAAGATCAGAATCATTAAACAAATTAACGAACGGCCTTTATTAATTGAAATATTTTAAAGAATATTTCAAATTGTATATAACGTAAAATTTTTTACACAATCTTTAAAACTTATACAAACTTAATACAATTTACTTATTTTACTGTTATGGTATTTGATATGTTATTGAGGTCAATATAAATAAATTAATAAAAATGTTAACGAATAATTGGTAGCGGAATGTAATTAGTCTAATTGTTCACTTTAAGTGAAACTGTTGAATTGTTCCGGAATAACACGAAACAATTCTGTATATTTCTCAGGAAGTGAACTACTTTTGGTTCATCTTGTGTGTATATTTCACGCTTATCAAATTTCTATGAGAACACACCGATTTTAAAAATATTTGATTCCGTCATTGCGTGTTGCTGTTACTATTAATATTTTCCTTTAATGTTACATGTTTTTTATATACTAATCCCTTTAATTAAGAAAAAATGTATAGAAACTGTAATAGATACAACATGCAGAAAATAACAAAAATGAAGAAAATAAATAAACTAAAATATTGAAAAAGGAAAGCACTATCGAAAATTTATAAAAGTAAAAAGTCAATAAAAATAAAACTGCAAAAATAAGAAAATTAAAGAAGAGAAATCAAATAAAAATATATAAAAAGAAGAACAAATTAAAAGACAAACGAAGTAACAAATTTCAATAGGATTCAACAACTATTGATTAGTAACTATTTGCACATAAAACTATCAATTAATTGTGAACGATACTTAATAAATTTCTTGTAAATTTTTTTGCACTGAATACAAGACTATAAATCGTTTTCATCCTTCTGTTTCAACAGTTTCATTCAATAAAGAACATAAAAAAACGATGAATTCTGTTAATTCATACAATTAATAAGTAGTAATTAAATTGTAACTGTAATTCCTCAGTTTCATCCAATTGAATAATGCTAGAAAACGCGTATATTAATCACATACACTTATAATTGTCACCGTGGCACGTGTGAAATTAAAAAGATCGAAGAACGCATGTATACATCCATAGACCACAGCGATGATTTTCGTTGGACGTATATATGCGCCCACAGCACTCAAAAAGGCAACAGAACAACAACAAAAAAACAAACATTTAATATTTATTTTATGCACTTAATATCTAATGTGAATGTGAATTAGATATTAATAAGTATAATTAATATCTAATTAATATCTAATCATTAATAAGTATAATAGCACGGTATAATCATTAATAACGTGGCAAATGAGACGGCATACGGTCTTGCGGCAGAGCGCTATTGAAAGATCAAAATGATGTTTTCCAATTTTTAAAGGGGAGGCCTTTGTTTTGAGTCTACGTCTATCAGAAGAGCAGTACAGTAAATTATTTTCGACAATAGTTCTGTAGAATTTAATCCAATTATTTCATATTTAAGTATTTTTAAATGCCACTATTTTATTCGAAATAGGGTACAAAGGGAGAAAAATATCGACAAAAGAAGAAATCATCACGCGCTAACATAACCTAACATTTCATTTCAGTTATAAAATCATCCTATCAATTAACTTTTGGTATGGTTCCAGATTTTCCTAGTACTGCTACTACTGGTAGTTTTATGCAGCACATCGTCAACCTTGAAAAATGATCGAGGAGGACCATCCCACACCGACCGAGGTTCCATCAGACATAGCCGAAGAATCTCCTTAAATGAGTACCTTGTCCCGCCACCACCCCCTCGCCACCATCCCGTCAGAACAGGGAGGCTAACCAACCCACAACCAACAGAAGCTCCAGGGTACTTCTCCAAACTGATGAACTGGTTCAGTCCATTTGCGTTCCATTCTTTGCCATCATTGAAACCACCTGTATACGAAAACCCTTTCCCCCCAACACCTCAAACCCACCTCCCATCGTTCAATGTGCACCCAGCTGCCACGCATCCCGTTTCATCCTTGCATCCTCCTCCTGAACCACCATCGAACTTACCTTTGTACCCACCTCTGAGTCCACCGCCTGGCCATTCCGCCCCAGTTTTCGCACCCCCTCTTAACCCACACCCTGTCCCGCCACTGAGTCCTCCTCCTACCCAGCCTGCACCAATTTACAAACCTCCACCAACTTCTTCACACGAAGCCAAACAGTATCTCCCACCACCTATCAAGGGCAAGTCCTGCAACCCTTGCAACAAAGTGCCCTGGATTCCAATGCAGGGCAACGAACATCATCCAGACAAGTACCATCTTCCTCCCCAGATTTCGAATGGCTACCTTCCTCCTAGTGGTCACGGAAATCACGACGCACAGTTCGCTGGATCTCATCAGATCAACATCCCAGACATACCCCGCGGCCAACCTCAGCTAAACGGACAACCAGGATTACTACCGAATCCTCTATTGCATCCTAACCCAGTGCCACCAATTTACAAGGCAGAACCTTTTGGTCAGCCTTCCCAACAGCCGCATACCGACAACTTTGGCCTCCAACCGCCATCTTTGCCGTTATTGCCAGCAGTCACAGATGAACAAAATAATGGACACTTTAATGGCAATCACGATTTGACGTCCAGTGGAACGCAGATAAGCCAAGGTCATTCCGGTGTCACGCCCCAGAATCATGGGACCGAGATCAATAAGGAAATTAACGATCACAGTGAATCGTTCGCAGCCTCTGCTCTTGATAACCAGCCTGCGATTTATGGGCCACCTGTTGATCAAGAGTATCACGATCCTGGGACACTGAAGCAAGGTCATGATGGGACTTCGAGTCAAAATGGCCAAGAGCCCATTGCCAGTTTTGGATCGTCGGGTATCGATGACATCCAGAACCATGAGTTTGCTAGTCAGAATGGAGATGTCTATCGTGAGACGTTCGAGTCAAATCAGGGACAATATTTACCTGCGGAATTAAGTGCACCCAGCTTTGGTAGCTCTACTTTTGACAATCAGGCCGCTGGATACTCGAATTATCAGTACTCCGATGATCTGTCTGTGAGCAGCAGCATTATCAAAGATTCTCATGCAAACGCGCTGAGTTCTGTTAGCGATTCTGTGAAGAATGACTCGATATACTTCGAAGAGTCGCCATTGTTGGATTTAACGAAGAAAGATGAGGGTCACGAGCAATGGCAGTCTATTGTTGGTGACGATAGTACCGTGAAACCGAGCACGGTGTACAATTTGGACACTGTCGGCGCACTGCTCGACAATTCGTCGAGTTTCGGTGGATTAACGGAGTCTTACGCTTCGCCGAATATTCAAAATGTTGATGCTTTCAGACATTCGACACCGTCGATTGTTCACTTTTCTGAAAGCAATGAAACTAGGTATATTGAAACGTCAACCGTTAGTGCAGACTATTCTAGCCAGGAGGTCGATGATTCGTACGTTTCAACGTCCGGCCAGCCGAGTTCCGCGTGGACGAGTTTCCTGAGCAATCTTGATTCGAAGAATGAATCTGTGAGGAGTAAACAGATACAGAATTTTGAACTGCTTGGTAGACCAGACTCGAGGGAGCCTAACGATGTGGTACAGAGACAGCAAAATGTGAAGCGAAATAAACAAGTAAGTTGAAGAGAAATACAAGTCTTGGATTTTGAAGGAGACAGCCTAATAAATTGGCTACGGATTTTATACAATTATAATATACTTTCAAATTCGAAGCACAATAAATGAATAATTATGATAAAATTAAAAAATATTTTCTCATTTTTATATAATGTTTAAAAAACCTACAAGTTTAAATTAAATAACCTGCAGCTAAATAATCTTATGATAAATAACATAGTAGATAATTATATTGAAAATAACTATACTTAATTTTAAACAAAACAGTTTATGAAACAGAGAGATGTTCTGATTGGTAATGCTAATTTTGGAAAACTACTGTAATTCAAATCATTATCTTTATAAATTTAACAATTCAATTTTTAGATAGAATATTTTTAATTTATATATTTATCAATTTAAATATTTTTAATCTCGTACATAAAATATAGTGAACAAAAAAATATTTTCAATTATGTACTTAATTTATTACATTATTGCAGGTGCAAGTTATTATACCGTACACGTCAGATTACACACCAATACCATTCCAGCAAACTTACGGAGATTGGAGCATTAAAAATAATCTCGAGAGAACAGAAGGAAGAAAAGTTCCTCCACAAAATGGTGTGAAGATTGACAATTATCTGCAACAAGAATCGAGAAACGAGATTCGTTTAATTAATCAATTACAATCGCAATTCAATTTCAATAATTCGTATAAAGCTAACTTAAAAGCTGTGTTAACAGCGACGAATAATGATACAAAAAATACAAAAGCAAACAATTCCATTGATGTTCGAAGGTTGCAGAAAAACATTGACAACTGGACGATACAAGTAAGCTTGAAGTTATCAATAAATTTTTCATTCCATTTTCTTTTGGATTTTAATGAATGTTGATATGTACATAATGAGAATGATACACTTGTTTATATAGAAGCTAATTTTAATATTTACCTAAATAATTTTTTAGATAAGACCACCATTTCCGATACATATGTTGACTTTTTACAAACATAAATTTTTAAATGATCTGACTCATTCTTGAAATGTTTATAATTTTTATAACTATTTTTATCATTTCTTATAATTTCTATAATATACATACATTAAAAATTAACATGCCAAGTTATGAAACTGTGATTTACAATTACTAAAAGTAATTATGTATCACAGTATTAATAATTAAATTACTAATTACTTTATTAGCCAAGGAATTGCAGCTGAAATAATGTTAAACTTTTGATTAGGAGTACTCAAAACCTACTCCGTCCAGTACCATTCTGCCAAGTTCTTCGCACCCTTATCTTCTGCCATCAAAGAAAATTCCAACGGAGTATTTGACAACAACCGAACCTGGTGACCACACAAGTGAATTGAAAACCAACAGAGAAAGCGTGAGGTCGTATTCTTTGGCTGGCTTTAGCTTTAACGAAGTGGATCACGAAGGTTCATCTAGCAACCACATCGAAACAATTCAATCGGTAATTCTCATCTTATAAACTGTAATTATTTAATTGCTTGGTGTGTGCATATAACAATTATTTAACATTTAAAATTGTTTACTATTAACAGTATTAATTATTTGACATTTAAAATACTAGTGCTTTATTTTTATTATTAAATGTACTATTTATAAATTTATAACGATTCTAAAATAAATTTCGTAATACATGATTATAAAATTATAATGATAATGCAGAGACACCGTTTTTTAAACACTGTAAAATAAATTGACTATCAATTCTGTAACTATCGGGAAATTGGATTTTTAATCAATTATATCTTTAATATATTCGTTTCGTGACGTTGGGAATCTTTATCAACATAAAAAGTCGATTTCCTCGAAAACAAAGCCTCATGAAAAAATTGTATTCCATATTTCCAACTTATTTTTTTATGTAGAATTACCCTGTTTCCGATTTTACCGTCCTTGAACACCCTGCATACACAATTATAATTTTAATAAAAATTCAGCACACAAAACGCAATTTAAAACCACAAGCCATGTAAAATAACATGTAGCACAATAACAAAATTGTTCCCCAAGCAACAAACAAAATACAATATGATAAATACGTCGATATACAGGGTGTTTTGTAACTGGTAGCACAACCGGGTAGTCTAAAATATAAAATAAAAGTTCTTCATTTGAGACTTCGTTTTCGAAAAAATCAACTTTACAAATCCACGCGGTAACCACACGTACACATATCCAAGTCTCAACTCAACGAATATCACCGTAGATTGTTTTTATGCTTGAAAACCACTGCTGTATTTGCTGTACTCTTGCTTTACTGCTACACTTAGCAGCTCTTAGTTTCTAACAAATCGTTAGATTTTTATTTGTGGAGTCATGTTAAGTCTATTGTGTACCTTGGCGAAATAACAAGTATTGAACAGTTAAGAGAAGCAGTTACTGTGGCGTTTGAAAAATTAAAATTGCAAAACAACACGTTAGAAAATGTACGTAGAAAAATTAGAAGAGCACAGTTATGTTTACGAAATCATGGACATCATTTTCAAGAATTTTTAAGTTAATAAAATTCCTTATTACTAAACACTTTCTTTTATGTTATGCTCTCGTTGTTCCATTTATTTAAAATAGTGTACAAATATTAAGAACGATAATTGACACGAACAAAGACGGTCTACAGTGATTACTGTTAAGTTGAGACTTGGTCGAGCGTAGATATTTGAACCGAGTAGATTTTTAACACGTTGAATGCTATGGGGGTCACCGGTGACCCGCAACCAAACTGAATTACTATAGTTCGTTCAATAAAACGACGATTATTTGAAAGCATTTCTTTATTATACATAATGTTACCTGATGCGTTGATATTCAGCTGGATGAATATGTGCAATCGTGCAATAGTAATAATAAAGTAAATCAATCAAATGATTTAATATCATATTTCCATTTTGTATATTTTGCTGTACGAAATCGTATGGCATTCAACATGTTAAAGTCGACTTTTTCGAAAACAAAGTCATAAATGAGAACCTTTTATTCTACATTTTCGACATAGAATCATACATGACACCCTATGTATCGATTCATTCACATTTTCCTAACAAAACAGACCCAAATAATTGGGCCTTATACATCGTAAACATAATTTTCAACGAAGTAATCAATTTTTCTTTCGCAGCCTCCGAAAGTTGTTCGAATAGAAACTTCGAAATCAACGTCGAACGGTTCAGAAGTTACGAGTAAACCTACAACGGAAGGAAGTGTGACTTGGGAAGGGTATTCCGTGTCGATATCGCCCGTGAATAAAGAAAAAGTTTACGTGGTAACGCCGCAGCCGGTGCTAACAGCGTCTAAAACGAAACTGGATAAACAGAGAAGAGGAGAGGTGCAGGAAACGAATCGGTTGAACGCGAAGAACTCGTCGGAGAGCAAGGACAGCTTAAGTGAATTCGATGCGATTGAGAAAGCATACCAGGTGCTCCCGCAAGCAGTGAATAACCTTGCAGTCGCGTCCACTGGGAAGGAAGACGTGCCTTTATGGGGAATTATGGAACATGAGGAATTCGCTGCTCTGAATTTGGACGGACACGACGACGAAACGGCTGAGGATGTCGTGGATGGGCCAGTGCTTTATGCTGGACACTCAAAGGTAGAAAAACAGGAACTATTGGGCTGATGCAAAAACTTTGACGTTCTTCGTACGTGGTTAACAAAAGAATCTTCGAAATAAATAACATTTGTTTTGAACACTTTCGCTGCTATAGTGGTCCCATGAGATAGGAGCTTCGAAATGACTTGAAAACAATTATAATTCATAAGATAACTGATGTCAAATAAAAATGTTCGATAGCGTGAATAACTAGATAACAGTTTAACGTAAGAATTGTGGTAGCAAATAATTAATAATGGTTCTTTTTTATCGTTGCTACAAAGGAATAAGTGATACGTAAAACGCTGATGTTTTTCATGGCAGTAAACGTGTTAAACTATTATAACGTGTGTAATAGACACTACTTTGTTCGTTTTCACTTGCCAGGGAACATTTTCAACCAGCACACGTCGATTTTGATAAAACTTACGTAAGACATAGTTCTCAAAAAAATATTTGACACATACTTTTTCTTATCGGCTAACATTTCGTTTAAAAGGATGAAGATAACCCTCAAAGTTCAGGGTTGGAAATATATTTTTTACAATATC